TCGATCAGCTGCCTCCTGCACACCCCCTATTAGGGATGTGCCCGTAACCAACGTACATGCCCTTGGCCGGAATCAAACCTGGGACCATTCAGTCCGCAGGCCGACGCTCTACCCACTGAGCCAAACCGGTTAGGGCAGATGACACATTTTTAATCATTTAATTCCTCAAAACCTCAGGCCCAGTAACAATTCTAGATCTTTTCCCCCAGAGGATGGTAGTTCATTCTAATTGAGGCCCATAGCTCCTTACTAGCTATTGAAACTGTTCCCATCAACAGAATGCACGGCTGCCAGAAAACGACATTTCCAGCCTTGGTGGACGTGGTCCCAGAATTTGGGAACAGCTGATAGTTTCTCTCCATATGGCTCGGACTCACGAAGAACCAAAGTACTCATGGAACAAAAATGTTTCTTAAAGGCAGAAAAATATTTCTTTAGAGTAAGTTTGTTCATTAGTTTCGGGATCTTTTTGTTATTTTGGTATAAATGAAAACTATTTCTTCTTTGCTTAAACAATCTATTTTTTAATCTTCTTGTTTAAGTCTGTGCTGTCAAGGATTGAAGCGTCATCCAACTTCTGTAGTCGTCTCTTAGAATTCTCCTTTCACCAAAGCTCCGTGTCCCTTGCAGGCACAGGGCAGCAGATGTTCCTCATTCGGCAGAAACAAGATTTCCTTTGTTCTAAGCAATTTCCTCTCTTTGCGTTGCAGGCCCGTCTGAAAGAATTTTGCCAGAAATCCTACCTGCTTGATATGAAGGCAGGCAAAACCAATTTCTAGAATAAATGGTGAAAAAACCTGCTTAGGAGAAATCATTTAGATCAGAAATGTACTTGATATGTATTGTCAGGCTAAAGAAAGTTACACATATATTTCAATATCAATCCCTCTTCAATATTGGATCTGCTGCTTGTTGGTTTTGAGAGCTTGGCAAATTAAAGCATTGAGTACCAGGTACAGGATCAGCACAAATATCAGGGCTCGCTATTTTTAGTCCACTGTAGTCCTGGAATTTTTCTGATACATTCTTGTTCTTCAAAACCTTCTTTCTAGATTTCATGAGGAAAACACATCCCTTTGGATGAATGTATTTTTGAAATATGTAAAAAATACAAATACACAAATCATTTTAATAGGTACATTTTGGTTGCTTGCCTTCTTGATAACTTCTAGGAAAGTGCTTTAATCTCACCAAAAAATTCTCCTAAATTACACTTTTGTCTAATACATTATTACTTCAGTGCCTGTAAAAATGAAGTCCCTGCCGTGACCTGGGGTTATCAGAGAGGGTGGCCTTCCATTGATCTGAGTATTTTGTCTTTGTTACTAGATTTGAAGACAAAACTCTGCCTTTGGACTTAGTTTTCACGTAACACAGTGAAATGTCGGAGGTAATGAAGCATGGTAGCAACCGTGCTTGGGTAAAAATTGCTGTTTAATATTTTAACCCTGCTGACTTGGCTTCTGTAATTATTTGCTTGCTAAAGTAATAGAAACGTTATTTTGATTTTCTGAACTCATATAAATTATCCCATTCGATTAAATACCCCATAGCCCAGGGGTGGGCAAACTTTTTGACTCGAGGGCCACAATGGGTTCTTAAACTGGACCGGAGGGCCGGAACAAAAGCATGGATGGAGTGTTTGTGTGAACTAATATAAATTCAAAGTAAACATCATTACATAAAAGGGTACAGTCTTTTTTTTTTTTTTTAGTTTTATTCATTTAAAACGGGCCGGATCCGGCCCGCGGGCCGTAGTTTGCCCACAGCTGCCATTGATGGTGGTTTGAATACCCCATTGATTGTGATCTTACTGGCCTTTTGAAACACATTCCTCTGCACCTGGAGACCAGGACAGCACAAATACTCTAAATGGCCTCAGTGGCCCCAGATAACGTGTTTCCGTTGACTCAGTGGTCCCAAGACCCGAAACTGTAACTAATCTTTGTAAGATAACTAACTTGCTCAATCTAAGCTTCTGTAACAAACTGCTTTTTGCAAACCAGTTTCCTCATTCCAAACCTCGAGATGTAATCAGTACCTTTGTGATATTTGCCTATATAAGTCTGATGTTTCAGCCAAGGGGGCACTGCGAGATTTGGAGAGCATTGCCCCCTCGTGTATGTCATAGCGATGCAGAGGGAACAGTAATTGATTCTGGAAAACCTTGACAAGTTAACTTACTCTAATGCTTATTTTCCCCATTCTTGACAGAAGAGTGAAAATGAACTCTCATGGGTAAGATTCAAGTGTTTGAGAAATTGTACATCCAGAAATGTTTTCATGACATGCCCTCGTCAGTTACATAACTGCATTCCAGGACATGCACACCATTTGCGATGTTATTTTGTGGGAATTAAATGAGATAATGTATGGCAAGCACTTTGCTCAATGCCTGGCCCACAGAAAGCAGTTAACAAATATTAGCTATTTATACTACAGTTTACTTGCTTACATCTGGGAATCCTCATTCAGCCAAAGAGCTGGGCAGAAAACATTTACTCACAATTTTGGAGATAATTACTGTAACATTCTTCACAGCATCTGAGGAGTCAAATAAGAAAAATAGCATCATCACCATGGAAATCTGGGGAAACAAAGACACTAAAGATTTGCAAATGCATTTCAATTACCCAAAGAGGTTAGAAGCAGAAAGAGAAACACACATTCCATTTCCTGCGTTCTCCATCGGTTTAAATACTTCAGTGTGAGTGTCTCAAGAAGCTGACTTTAATCGTGAAGCTGATGATAGAAAGCCCTGTGGGCTTCTCCCAGAGACTTCCTTCTTTCTCCAGCAGCAGAGCAGCTAGAGCAGCAGGGGGTTTGTCTGAACACTTCCCCTTTGCCGGATGAAATAAACAAAGAGGAACTACCTGAGGACTAGTTTTTAAAATACTTTTGTTTCTCCATTATTAAAGAAATAGGCAGTAACCACTAATACTTACCAAGTAGAAACTACCTGCCAAGCAATGCACTGAGTGCAATAGTTTATCCATCCAAAATTCCTGGGAAGTTTACCCCTATCTCTCTTTCCTCATCTATAAGATGGGGATTAAAAATGATTCAGGGAAGGGCAAGAAGATGTTTTTAATGTAAGTTAAAACTCAATGAAAGTAAAAAATAAAAATAAAAATGTGTTAACGTTGTATAGCTCCCAGTCCATTTGCCCCTGATAGTGACTTACTGTATCTATTTGGCAGGTAAGGGGTTGTCATTATGTCTTCATAATTACACTTTGACAGACTCATATTTATATTTATTTCCATTTCTTATGTTTACAATACGTGGGTGTATACACAGTTTGCAAAGTTTAAAGCGCTTGGAAATGGGAAATATCGCATGGCTGACTGGGTGCTGCTGCTGCCTGTGAGTATGAATTTCTGGCAGTTGACAGCAGCCTGTCACTAAATGCTTCGCGGACAATCCGCGAGCCCATAGTGCACAGGCAGGTGACTCACTGGATCTTTCCACTGAGCCGTCCTACAGGTGTAACTGGAATCAATTTCTGCACTAAGGAATGAAAAATGTATTTAAGAAACATTTACGCACTTGTTACTAATCTGTATAAAGATTATCAACAAGCTATATCAGAATATCCCATTCCAGGGTTACTTTAAACAATATGGCTCTTTGGAGAAGTGAGTGTAAGTAAAATAGACTAGCAGCAAGGAGAATATGTGAAAATGTGAATGGTGGGGAAATATACATTGAGACCATTCACTGATTAAATATATATTAGTGTCGATGATGTGCTCTGCACTCCCCCAGTTCGGAGGACACACAGTAAACTAAACAATGGGCATTCTACAGGGCAGACAAGCAAAATACGCTATGTTGTCAGGCACTGCGATGAAGGAACATACAGCAGGTAAAGGATGAGACTGTGGGGGAGGTTCCGGTGAGGAGGTGGTGAGCCGAGTATCCTCCACTGACTTGAAGAAGCCAACCATGTGCATATCTGTACAGAGGGTTTCCTCTACTAACATTTGCTCATTCTCCAGGAGCCCGTGGGTGAGACTTTAGAAATAAATTTATTTTTAGCCATACGCACACATCACACCATTAAATTTGACTTTACCAACTGTATGCAAATATGCCAGGTTAGGTATGCGCAGGGATCCTACAAAATGCCAAGAATAAAGAGGTCTTTGCAGGCTTAAACTGCTTGGCAGGCATATTTCATCTAAGAAATGAAGGAAGAGACTTAGGTGGAAGTGAGTCGCTTCTCTCATTGGTTTGTGACCTTGAGTTACTCATCATATAAACCCAAACTGCAGTCACATAGGAGGGCGAGAAAGAATCTAGAGACTCCACAGAGACACGGCACAAGTAAGTGATATGATTGACCTCCTCAAAGATAAGAAACCAGATACTTTTTACTGTTTAAGGTTTTATTTCTATTACTGTCATATTCTCTGTGTGAGAGTGACTATCTTTTCTCACCATTTCACTTGCTCAGAGCCTCTCTATGTTAGTGGCCATGTGGAAATCAAATGGTAATTTCTAAGAGAAGTATAGGTACTTAGTGATTTTAAAAGATTTTTAAAAGATCCTTCGAGTGGATTTTAACATAGAAAATACTGTCAATACCAGAGGGGAAAAGCCTGTCCTGATCCCAGGTTTGTGAATTGTTCCAGAATTTTCCCAAGTGATGTTTTCAGTGTGTGAAGCAGTAGAGAATGTCATAGTTTTTCTTTCTTTTTTTTTCTTTTAAAAAGGTGTAGGGATTTTATTCTTCCCTATCCTCATGTAAAATAGGTATTTTTGTTAGGAAGAAGGAAGATGGACATGGGTGGGCAACTTTGCTGTGTCTCTATCAGAAAGAATTAGAGTTAACACTGAAACCTTCTTAGCATAGTGACTAGCACACAATGAGTGATTAGTACCTGTTGGCCATTATTATTACAGGTCCTTTCCACCAGGGCCAGGACTAGGAAGGGGCAAGTGAGGGAGTGAGGCACCCAGGGCACACAGTGTAAGGGGCACTTGGTCTCAGGGTTGGGCAAATGCTGACCCTGCACCTGTCGGAGACAGTACCGCCTTGGGAGGAAGGGTCTCTTTCAGGCAAGCAAAAATAAAAAGTTCAGGTATTTTATTTATAATATTTTCTATCACTTTAAGGCTCATTTTTTGGAAGTGTCCCCGTGTTTTGCCAAGAATTGCATTCTATCATCATTTGGTTTCAAAGATCATTTAAGGCATTGCCCCAGGCCAGAAATTGGAACTCACAGTTCCCAAAGCATATTTTAATTATTCCTCGTGCTTTGGATTTAATGTGAGGCAAGCATTGAAAATAATTAGTTGGTCTTTGATAGGAAAATAGATATCTTGTCTTGCTAATTAAAAATTAAACATCTGGTGTTTGATTCAAATCCATAACTTACTCAGTTAACAAAAATTTTTATATTTCTCTATTGTCCTACAATTTAACTCCAACCT